AGCGTCTTTAACAGCTTCATAGCTGGTAAACAAAGTTTTTTCAACTCGTCTTCTCCCAACCTGACTTGCGAGCTGGTCGAAGTCGAGCAACGTTTTTAACAGCTTTATAGCTGGTAAACAAAGTTTTTTCAACTCGTCTTCTCCCAACCCGGCTTGCGAGCTGGTCGAAGTCGAGCAACGTTTTTAACAGCTTCATAGCTGATTTTCTAGGACAACTAGGGACACAATCGTTCGTGATTGATCGACTCTTGATCAATGCTCGTCGTGATTGTTTAGGGCCGACGTCATAATTGTAGATTTTATAGGTTCATTTTGAGTGGCCACTTCATAGTTATAGGTTTCACGATTACGAGTTTCGTAGCTTAACCTAGATTCCGTTCGAGGCACACAACTTCGTAGTTGTGTTAGATCGACTTCGCAGTCGTAGGCTTCACAGCCTTTTGCCGAGATTCCACTCGAGGCACACAACTTCGTAGTTGTGTTAGATCGACTTCGTAGTCGCAGGCTTCATAGCCTTTTGCCAAGATTCCACTCGAGGCATACAACTTCATAGTTGTGTTAGATCGACTTCGTAGTCGCAGGCTTCATAGCCTTTTGCCGAGATTCTACTCGAGGCATACAACTTCGTAGTTGTGTTAGATCGACTTCGTAGTCGTAGGCTTCATGGCCTTTTGCCGAGATTCCACTCCAGGCATACAACTTCGTAGTTGTGTTAGGTCGATTTCGGAGTCATAGGCTTCAATCGGCTTTATAGCCGCTTTGAAAAATTCAGTTTTTCGGGTAATCATAATAAAATCGACATGAAAATGTGAGAAACACAATCTTAAACATAAACTTGGGAGTCATTGCATTACTGAATTTGATTAAGCATTGCTCAGTACAAAAGGAATTCGAAATACTAACCTAGGCATAAAAACGTTTGAGATGGATCACGTGCCAAGATCGCGGCAACTGTCGTCCTTCGCCATCCTCGAGTTCATATGCACCTCTCTCGAGCACTTTGGTGATGGTGTAAGGTCCTTCCCAGTTAGCTTCAAGCTTCCCGACATGTTTAAGAGCATCTGCTCGTTTGAGGACGAGATCTCCAACTTGAAATCGTCTGGTGCGGACTTTTCTGTCGAAGGCTGCACGCATCTTCTGCTTGTATTCCATGGATTGTACCCAGGCCTCTTCTCGTCCTTCTTCTATCATGTCGAGGGCTTCTTCAACCATCTCCTTGTTCTTATTTTTCTCATAAAATTTCGACCTGTGCGAATTTAAGCCGACCTCGATAGGCAGGAGTGCATCCATTCCATAAACCATGTGAAATGGCGACTGGCCTGTTGAGCTTCTTGGGGTCGTCCTATAAGCCCATAGGACTGCTGTCAGCTCGTCGACCCAAGCACCTGATGCTTTCTCCAATCTCTTCTTTAATCCTTGGAGAATTGTTCGATTAGTCACTTCGACCTGCCCATTTGCCTGGGGGTGTGCGACCGAGGCGAACCTTTGTTTTATTCCCATGTCGAGGCACCATGCCTGAATTCGTTTCCCCTGGAACTGAGTTCCATTATCAGAAATTAGCACTTTTGGGACTCCGAATCGACAACAGATATTGTTAAACAGGAATTGGATCATTTTCTCCTCCGTAATTTTCGCCAACGGTTCCGCTTCGACCCACTTGGTAAAATAGTCGACAGCGACTACTAAGAATTTCCTCTGCCCTGTTCCCATCGGTAGTGGTCCTACCAAGTCGATTCCCCATTGCGCGAAGGGGATCAGGGTGTTTATGGTCGTCATGTATTCGGCGGGGATGTGCGTGATTTGCCCATGTCGTTGACATTTTTCGCATTTCTGAACCAGCTGTTCTGCCATCGCTCGCATCTTGGGCCAATAGTATCCTGCTCGCAGGGCTTTGCCTGCCAAGGCCCGTGATCCTACATGTGCTCCGCAACACCCTTCGTGTATTTCTCTCAAGACATGATTTCCTTCGCCTTCGGAGACGCATCGCAAGTGAGGCCCGACCAGAGATTTTTTGAACATGATCCCGTCGACTTCAAAGTATTTGCTTAGATATCGAGCAACCCTTTCTGCCTCCTGCTTATCCCCCATAGGTACTCGGCCTTGCAGAAGTTCATGAATTGAATTTCTCCAGTCGTCTTTTTCCTCGACTTCCATCGTTTTGCCCAACACGCTTCCCTCTAAGTGCATAGTGGTGATAGAACTTCCCATCTTCCCATCATTCGAGCTCGCAATTCTCGCTAGCCAATCCGCTCGTTTGTTTTCCTCTCGAGGGATTTGTGTTAGTTCAAACTTCTCCAGGCCCTGGACAAGACTTTGGATTTCTTCGACATATTCATTCGTTCTTCTTTGATCTCGCAACTTCCCAACACTTGTCCAACAACTAAATGTGAGTCGGAATGCGCTACAACTTCTGACGCTCCTCCGCCAATCGCGAGTTGAAATCCTTTGATTAACGCCTCATATTGTGCTTCGTTATTCGAGGCCTTAAATCCCATTCTGATAGCAAAGTCAAGTTGCTCGCCCTCGGGTGAGACGAGAACAATTCCCAGACCCGATCCCTTGGCCGCGGAGGACCCGTCGACGTGAATGACCCATTTCTTTTCTTCCCCCTTTGTACCTTCTTGGATGAAATCAGCTAGGGCTTGGGCCTTTATGGCTCGTCTTGGCTCGTACTTGATTGAATATTCACTCAGCTCGACTGCCCACTTGACGAGTCGACCTGACACCGTGGGCCGGCCCAGTGTTTCACCTAGTTAAAAATTCGTCCTGACTAATACCACATGATTCAGGAAATATGGCTTTAGTTTTCTAGCCGTTACCACCAGTGTTAGGGCGGCCTTCTCGATTTCAGAATATCTCGTCTCTGCACCCTGCAGAACTCGACTGGTGTAGTAAATTGGCTGCTGGACACCTCCTTCTTCTCGCAATAACACTGAACTTAGTGATACCGCGCCCACAGATATATAAAGCACCAACTCATCGCCGGGCTCTGGTTTTGTCAACAAGGGTAGCTCGCCCAAGAATTCTTTTAATTTTTCAAAGGCCACTTGTGTTTCGTCACTCCATGAGAAGGTCGACTTCTTCTTTAGTAATTTGAAGAACGGGAAGCTTTTTTCTGCGGCTCGAGCAATGAACCTGCTCAGCCCTGCGATTCGTCCCGTCAGAACTTGTACATCTCTTATACTTCTTGGTGGGGCCATGTCGAGTATGGCTTTCACTTTCTCCCAGTTTACCTCGATTCCACGCTCTGTGACGATATATCCCAGGAATCGTCCTGCCTTTACTCCAAAGGCACACTTGTTTGGGTTCAGCTTCATCCCGAACGCCCTAAGAGTTTGAAATGTTTCCCTTAAGTCGTCTGGGTGTGAGGTCGAGGCTCTACTCTTTACCAAGATATCGTCAACATATACCTCGATATTTCGCCCGATCTGAGCTTTGAACATTCGATCCATCAGCCGTTGGTAGGTTTCTCCAGCATTCTTAAGTCCAAAAGGCATGACGACGTAGCAGTACGTCCCTTTACTCGTCACGAAGCTCACCTTACTTTGATCTTCTGGGCATAACGGGATCTGGTGGTATCCCTGAGATGCATCCATCATACTCAATAATTCGCAACCAGCCGTAGAGTCGTCGAGCTGATCAATTCGTGGTAGGGGATAATGATCTTTTGGGCAGGCCAAGTTTAAGTCACGGAAATCGATGCACACGCGCCATTTGTTTAGCGCCTTTCTCACCATCACGGTGTTGGATATCCACTCGGGAAATTGGATTTCTTTGACATGCCCCGCCCGCAGCAACTTATCAACCTCGACTTCAATTGCTTTGTCGATTTCCTCACCATGACGTCTAAGTCACTGTTTTACTGGCTTTCTGAGGGGGTCGACGTTGAGTTTATGCTCTATAATAGCGGGGTCGATCTCTGTCAACTCCTCAGGGGTGAAGGCGAAAACATCCCTGAACTCCTTTAGTAGTGCAACCAGTTGGTTTCGTAGCTCGACTTTCAAATCTTTCCCGATCTTAGTGGTCTGTTCTGTTGTTTCTTCGATTTGTATTTCCATTAGCTCCCCGTGTGGTTTGAGAACACTATTCCTTGGCCTTTTCTCGCTCATCATTGGCTTCTTTCCCTCCTTAACCTTGGCCCGCTGGTTGGTTTTTACAGCGATTTGATAACAAGTCCTCGACAGCTTTTGATCACCTCGAGCTTCCCCGACTTGGTCTCCGACTGGGAACTTTAGCTTCATATGGTAAGTCGATACTACCGCCTGGAATGCGTTAAGTGCTGGCTTCCCCAGGATCACATTGTAAGTTGACTCGACATCAACCACCACGAATCTCATCATTTTCACCTTCCGCAAGTCACCTTCCCCTAGAACGACAGCGAGCATGGTTTCGCCTAGGGGGGCGACCTCTGACCCATTGAAACCGAATAGTGAGGTATGAAGGAGTGTGAGCTGTATGTCGAGCTCCATCCTTTTGAGACAATTGTAAAAAATCACATTTACGGAACTCCCAGTGTCGACGAACACTCTCTGCACATCATATCCCGATATTTGAGCCGTTATCATCAATGCGTCGTTCTGAGGCCTCTCAACTTCTCCCGCATCTGCTGGGCCGAAGTTTATTACCGGTCCATTCTCATCGACTTGTTGTATCTCGACTTTCCCATGGCGCCCTCGGGCATACGCCTTCCTTGCTCGATTCGAATCCCCATCAGTTGGCCCTCCAAATATCATATGTATGGTTCCCCTTTTCTGTGGGAGCTCCACTTTCTCCGGTGTTCTCGCCCTCTTACGAGGGCTCCTGCTCCTTTCCCTTCTTCTGTTCGACTTTTCTCGATCCTTATATATGAATTCCTTCAAGTGTCCTGCCTTAATCAGTCTTTCGATTTCGTCTTTAAGGTGCCTGCAGTCGTCAGTATTGTGACCATAGTCTTTGTGGAATCGACAGTATAGGTTACTCTTCTGTCTCGTTGGTCCATCCTTTCTCGTTTTGGGCCATCTGACAACATTGTCATGAACTTCTTTTTCCATTACTTCCAGAATTCGCGCTTGAGGGGCCGACAAAGGGGTGTATTGAGTCGGCCTCCAACCCCTAGGTCGCCCCTCTCTTTCTGCTCGCGGGGACCCCTTTCTCTCCCCAGCCGAGGAAATTCTCTTCTCCCTTCTCTCTTCCCGAGGGTCAGTTTTACTTTCTTTAGCTGTTCGCGAGAAATCGATCTCCGCCTCCTCGACATTCATATACTTCGCGCATCTCCCCAGCACTTCGTCAAACGTTCTACCCGGGCGCTTTGCCAGAGAATTCCTGCACAAGCCCGGTAGCAACCCTCGTGTCAATCCTCCTGCCTTTATCTCTTCCGATGCCCTGGGCACCTCGACACATGCTCGCGTATATCTTGCCACATAATCCCGCAGCGACTCACCTTCCTTCTGCTGGATACCCATTAAGGTCAGATACGACTTCTCCTGCGGTCTCACACTTGCAAATTGATTGAGAAAACTCGCACTGAATCCTTCAAAATCCTTGATGGCTCCCGCTGGTAGTTGGTGGAACCAATCCTGTGTAGATCCCCGCAAGGTGGTTAGGAAAGCTCGACATTGCACAGGGTTATTATAGCGATGCAAGACCGTCATATTCTCGAAACTCCTCATGTGACGAGATGGATCGGTCGACCCGTCATAACTTATGTTTAGATCACAAAAACCTTGCGGCAGGTCGGCATCCAGGATGTGCTGCGAGAACGGATGTCCCCTCGAGCCTCCGACTTTCTTCCCCTCGACTCGGGCCTGTAAATCACAAACCTGGGCCAGCAACTGCTCCAGTGTTTCATCTCTCGCCTGCGGATTAGCGGTACTAATGGAGGACGCCTCTTCCTCCGCCCTTCTGTTTTGCCTATCATTAGACTGGGCTTGTTGCTCGTGATCATGGGGTGGTGGCTCAATCCTGCGCTGATCGATCCTGGGCTGCTCGAGCCTGGGCTACTCGAGCCTGGGTTGCTCGAGCCTGGGCTACTCGAGCCTGGGCTGCTCGACTTGTACCTGCTCGAGTCGGGCTGCCACCACCTCCGCTATCATTCTTTGCATCTCATTCCCTGTCACAGTCATCATCTACTCTTCGGCCTGGGTTGGTGGCATCGTCACTTGTTCCAGCACTCTGGATTGCTTTCCCAGGCTCAAAGTCGTTTCTGTGGACTCGCGGCCGTCGACTCCCGTGTTCGCGCCCTTCACCTGACTAGGTTCTCCTTGTGTTATCCATGGAATTTTTACCCCGGGAGGCGTGATGGGTGTTTCTTCCTCAATACGCACCCCCGACGGCGCGTGTCCCCCAAAGGGTAGAAAACCGAGAACCTGAAGCGGTGGTCTAGGGCCAGGAATTAACGGCGGCCGCTTGTCCGTCCACGCTGTCCTGAAGTCCTCGTTTAGATTTCTCGATAATCCTTCCTTCTCCGCCATGTCAAACAGATCGGAACTAGGTGTAAAGCTCTTACTTCCTT